TTTATATGATTTGCAGGGCAACAAAATCCACTCAACTTCAATAGGTTAAACAAAGCAACAAATGAATATCATTCCTCAGGGGAGCTCAGGGTAAACAACCTTCAGGAATAAATTCTATTCATGTTGCCTACATGAAATAGGACATAGGGGACAAACACCCACAGAGAGGGTTTATTGGTTTACCTTGTTCACTGCACCTTATTGGCTGGAGGCTAATGCAAAGAGTCTGGAAAATTAATACTCAATGACTGTCATTCATTAGGTATTCCTCTGTCAGGGGGGAAGGTGCAGTGTTTAATTTGGAGATTTGATCTTTAACTTATGACAAACGGGCAGGGAGTTGACGTCGTTTCTGCGTAACTGTGATCAAGTTATTAGATTGATTAAAAAGGAATTCATGGTGCACAGAGAATGAATCCTAAAATGTTTTCAGCAGAAATGGGGATACTCTCCTGAATCTGGAGGGGCTGTATGTGAAAACGCAAACGACCAATTGAGCCAATACAGCAGGAGATCTGCGAGAGTTACCCATCAGATGAAGGCTCCACAAAATTTGAGTCTGGACCTTATTGTGCCAATATTTTCTTGAGTTCATGTCAGAAAACGGCTCCAGTGTCCCAGTTTTTCCTCTAACATTACTCAAAATGCTGAATGAAATATTTCTACAACTACTGGATGAACTGCCATGAAATAGTCCAATTTATTATGTAACACTTTTCCATTTTAATCAACCCCTTGTAATTTAGGGTTCATGACATTGCCCATGGAAACTTTGGCATGTGGACTGGAAAAGCAGGGGATCAAACCACTTACCATCTGGTTAGTGGACAACCCATTTTACCTCCTGAGCCACAGCTGCCCTAAATGTTTGTGTTTCAACAGACTAGCTAAAGCAGTCACTTTCCTGGGGCCCCAAGCTGGCAGGGGACCCACGTGAACAGCTGATCCTCAATCATTTTGTGAGAACCCCCTTAAAATTCTCTGTTTGCAGATGTACAGTAAAGTGCAACAACATCATAGAGATGCACTAACAAGGCCCCATGCCAATTGCTTTCTGCCAAAAGCTTTGGGATTTTAGAAGTTTGTTTGTAGACTAGAAAGTCTATCATTTATCATGGGTTTCATGGGAATCCTGTTTGCCTGGGGCCCCCAAAGTCCCTTGAAACGCTCCTGGCCACAGCTGCTCCCAATATGATTCCCCTCAGGATGAACTATGATCCCTTCACCTTTTGTTTGGCATAATCTCATCACACTTCCAGTTTGTCCAGTGATTTGGTTTATGAACAATAATGATATTCTTTACCTTTGTAGTGCTTTGTGTTTAGTGCTAATTAACATAACGTTAGCATGCCTACATGCATATCGCCTGAAAGCATGTTGTCATGGTCATGTTAGCATCATTGCACTCATATAGTGCCTCACAGATCTGAGGAAGATGGCTGTGGGCTCTTGTTTTCACTCTGCTGCCTCGGTCTTTCTCTCTTGTGTGAGATAAAGGATAGTCTTATGGAACATGCAAATCATATGGTTCAATTAGAGCAAACTCTTTGAAACACAGCAGCAGAAAGCCTGTGTGCAGAGAAGACTATTTCTCTGTTGCTGTGTTTTAGTCACATCCTGGGTGCCGTGCGAAAACAATAGTATTCATTTGTTGCTCACTGTCGGTTCTATGTTGATCCTGTTTGCAGTTTGACTCAACACTGGCTGCCTGTGGGTGGATCTGTGGATGGTACGTGAATCCAGTTTCACCCACTGTGGAGTTCCTCTTCCCTTCATTTGCCATGAAATTTAAGAAGACTATGAGGCACCCTCCACCAAGTGTGGCTTCTTCTTCCCTTTTAGCATCTTCTTCTCCATCTTGCTCATTCATCCTGTGAGCCAGAGAGGTCCGCGAGACTCATTAGCGCCCGCCTCTTTGTTTCATGCCGTGTTTCCCCAAAGGCATTACTAGCACCATTAGCCCAGGCAGCAGTGAGATTTCAAACTGCCTGGGCAGATAGATGCCTTCCAAATCAAAGTGTGCTCCTCTTTAATTAGCATTTTTCAAACATCAATATATTTTCTCCCAGCCTCCCAGGACCACAACTCTGTCGAATTAATTATTAACAACCCCACTGTCTTCCTCTTTCATTTTTCTTCCACCTCCTCTTCTTCCTTTGAAAGCAGCCCTGGTTTCCAAGTTTTTGCCTGCAGTTGGATGCGAATGCAACGTGGACCTTCAGTGACAGCTCTCTCCTGCAGGGGAGGGTGTAATACCACACGTTTGTACATAAAGTGATAAATTTGGGTCCAAACCAAGAATAAAAGCAGCATTAATGCCCAAAGCTTGTGCGCATGAGGCTTTGTTGTCCGCAGGGCAAGTTTAATTATGTTTACATTCCCTTCTCCCTTAATTCATTGTCTGATGTCAGATCTTAGTGTTCAATTTGCAAAAGTAAGGCAGATGCAGAATCACCTGATAAAAAAATAGGATGACTCCTCTTCAGAATTCGCCCCGGTGGAGAACAGAGGGTACTATCTCTCTCTATCTGTCATAAAAAGGAAGAAAAAGTGAGGCCACAGACTTGAAAAGGCAGGGGATTGAATTGGAGGCACAATATGGTTGAGGAGATAAAGCTGAAAACGAGGGAGATAACCCCTTTCCTCCTCTGGCCTCAGCTAGCCACTGTGACAGAGCTAAGGTGGGAATAACCAAGGCCATCAGCGCTCTCCATGGCAACCACTCAAATTTCTGCTGAAATACAGCACATCCTTATTCAATCCCATAAATCTACCCTACCCACTGAAAGTATAGGTTATCTGCTCAGCATCTGAATACTGGTTAGTATAATGGTCCATTATGAAACAAATGGCTGCTTTGAAACGTGCACTGAAGTCCAGATATTCTCCTGAAAATTCCTCAAAGGGGCTGTTTTTGAAAAATGTCTGAGTCCATTGCTGCAGACATTCTCCAGAGTTCCTCCAGCCAGGCCCCTGGTGAAATGTCGGGAGAATGTCCGAGTGAACCGATGTGAGAATACAGCAGGGTGATGTTTGGAGACTCCAGTGAGTGACTGGGCTTTTTGATCACATTTCCAACACCCGATGAATAAATAATGAATAGGGAAAAAAAATAAAGAGTACGTATCACTGGATGAAAAAGAGGAGCCATACCCGTAAAAGATGATGTGCTGCAAACAAAGACATGCGATTTCTGCAGTGGAATTTATACATTATGCCTTCTGCATGCTCAACCTAAATGCCACCCCTCACCAATGCCACAGACAATTTCCTGTTGTTGGAAACACATCTGATTTGGACAATGTCCTATATGAAAGACGCAGTCTGGGAAATTCCTGGACCCCGTGGAGTTCATGTCTGGAAACAGCTAAATCGGTTAGACTCAATGGTTCTGTCGTTGTACATCTGTGGTGATAGCGACCAATGTTATGATTCATATGGTTGTTTTGTACCAGCTCTTAAAAAAACCCCAAGTTAAACAGTTTCTTAACGTGGCTGTGAAATCAGGATTTTACAGCTGTTTAAATGGCGGAGTCTTAAGTAAGCTCTGTGCTGACAAGTCAACTCACTTAGGGCAAACTGAAAGAGATGAGAAATAATTGGATGAGAAATTAAAGCTAACCAAGAAACATGCCGCCTAAGTGCTTGTGCTTTGTTGTCTGTCAACTGAGTTTCCATTTTCACAAACATCAAAAACATTTTTTGATGAATAAATCTCGACATTTCTCCAAAGGAAGAATTTATTTATTTTCTTCAAACCCCCACATGCACACAGCACTAGTATATACTCCACTTTTCATATCACTAATCATTCAGACACACACACACACACACTTCAATGCAGATTATTGTTTCTTGCCAAAGGACACTTCTGCAAGAGATCATACTACCAACCTTCTAGTTAGCAACCACACTTTCTGCATGTGCTAGATGGGAAATGACGTAACATTGCACTCTCCAGGTGTTTACACTGATTAACATCTATATTGTCGGCGAGAGATTAGCCACAGAAAGCACTTAATCAAGCAATCAAGTGCTTCAATAAAACTGCTGTCATTTTTTATTTGATCCAATGTGATACCATCTGCACTCAGCTCCCCCCTCTGGCGTCTCTGTGCAGTTCAGCGCCACATCTGCAAACAGCTCGTGCACGGCTGCCTTAATGTCGCTGATATCACAGACCCCTCAAAATCAGGTCTGATTTTTGGAGGAGAGGAAGATGACAAAGCCGCAGTAACAAAGTGAAGTGGCTCAAAGGGGAAAAAACAGTGACTGTTGAAGAGCTGTGTAGTTGTGTGAGTGTGCAGCTAATCTACAGAGGAGGTCTAGAGCTGCTGGTATCACAGAGGATCTAAAAGACAATGACAGCACTTTCATTTTAAAACACGTGACCAGGAAAATAAAGTGCTGGACAAATGATCATATGAAATCTGTTGAACACATGCAGCACGACTGTCTGATGTCAAGTAGATAATAGTCCACGGATTTTACACATCAGGGTCACTTGACTCGTGGTTACTCTTTGAAAACATTTGTATTATGTGTTTTGTGTGATTTCAGCTTGGGCCTGGAGACACAATTTTACAAATGGAGTCATTTAACTCTGCTCTCAGGTTACAGGAAGTAAAATTCAGGATATCATCACGACCTAAACTACTTTGATTATTTTCACAAATCCCGCTCCCTGCAAATAAACAAACTTTATGGAGGGTAAATATTAAATCACTTGAGGATTCCTCTAAACTCCATCAGAGTCTAACATCTGCTGATGAAGATCATGCAGTATTGAATGAAAGCTCCAGATTAACTCCTGAATCATTTTCTAAGATCATGAACAAACTTTAAACCACTGGGATTGTTTGCATTATATTTAAAGCACTGGGGGCTTTAGAAAATAGAAGTTTGGAAATGCTGCTGGCTCTTTTAGTTTGAAAACTTCTGAGCTGTGTTTAAGTCTGGACAAGCAGAAGATATTTGGACACGATGATAAAGACACTTACATCTGCCTGCTGATTGAGTCTTATTGGTCCAGATGCATCCTTCTCAGATCCATTGGGTTCCTATCACATGACTCCCTCTGGAAGAAAAAAATAAAATAGCATCAGCCCCTGCTACCAATGTAGAATTTCAGCCACTGATAGGTTTACGGTTGGAATACAGTTGCTAGTGTCAGAATTGTTGGGTGCGGGTGGACCCAAAAATACAGAAGCAAAGTAAAATAACAAAAAGTGTCCTTTAATTAAGGCATTAAGGTACTAAGACAAAAAAACTAAAAATAAATAGTAAATAAATTGGTTGCACTTACATGTAGCACTTAGTTTAGCTATTTTGAAGCAAATTGTACTTACTTGATTCTTGTTGTTCTGGGTTTGTTCCCTCATGGTTGATGCACTTATTGAAAGTTGCTTTGGATAAAAGCGTCAGCTAAATGAAATGGAATCTAAAAAGGCACTGGAAACTAGAAACGACTGCAAAAAAGGCTAAACTGAAAAAAACATTTGAAAACACTAGGACACTGGAAACATGAAGCAGACACTGGCAACAACACAGAGGAAAACCACGTCGAGGACAGGTGAAAGACAACAACAAACTGACAAAGACAAGTGGACACACAGACGTATATACACAGGGGAGGCAGGGTTGATTGAGCACAGGTGAAACACATGAGGAACATGTGCAATCACAGGACAAAGACAGGAAGTTAAGCCAGAGACACACATGGTGTAAAAACTTCAAAATAAAACAGGAAACTGAGAACTCAGGCTAAAACTGCATGTGTCCCCTGTCTCATCTCAGCCTGCTGTGTGAGAACATCCAAGAATGGAGCCATCCCAGTCAAGCGTAACCTTTTTCCCATTTGTGTAATAAATGGTTAAATCATGACAATCATGACTGTACAACTGTTGAACGTTTAAAATTCTGCTTTTAATGTTAGCCATTGCTGCTTCATGTTTTAACCTTGCTCTTTCTGCACCTAAAAACCAAATGCTTCATTTGGCACGTGCATAGTGTTCGTGAGTAATCATGTGATATGCATTTTAAGGCGTGCTATGCAATAAAACTGACTCAGAGCCAAAAGGCTTGTTTTAGTCTGAAAATCGAATATTGCATTCATTAGAAAATGTAGTATCGATGCAGCCTTAAGTAAATGATTTTGAACTAAATTATTTTCACCTCCATAATAATTAACTAACTTTAACCAATGACATCTGGTTGATTCCATGATTCCTTACCCCTCTTACGAGCTGGGCCATAACAAGGACTAACACCCTCAGAACAATCAGAGCTTTGACAGTGATGAAGCCGTCACATCCTAGACTGTGTGTTGCCAATGCTTTTGTTCTGTTCTGTTCATCTTTGAAAATTGACCAACTCTGGTCTCGTAGGTTCTGCTTTCATTGCAAACAGGATCTCCTTTTGTACTGTGACAAACTGTGTTAACTCTGTGTCTGTTCTGTTTGTCTGATGCTTGACTCTCCTTCACCTCCCCAGTAGCTTTCTTTCTCGTTTGGTGTCTCATCCGTCTGTCGCTCCTCATCTGCTCTGCTCTCTCCTCCACTTCTCTTCAGCTCTCTGGTGTCCTGCTCATATTAAACATGCAGTCAGTATATGCCAACCAAAATCAAAACTCTAATGCTGCAATTTTCTGATGTGATGATTGGATCCTCAAGATGTTTATTTAGACTTTAGAGTTATTTTGCAAATATATATGCAAACGATGGTGGCCCTGAAGGCTCAGTGTACCACAACAAAGAAATTTGACTAAACACATGCGAATAGAGAAAATAGCTTCATAAATTTGACAACACATACGCTGCAAATAATTACAACAATCAAACTATTAAAACCAAATATTCACAACCAAATACAACTCAACCAAATACTCACAACTGAATACTTACAACACAACCAAATACTCACAACCGAACACTTACAACACAACCAAAATACTCACAACCGAACACTTACAACACAACCAAATACTCACAAC